AACCTGTTCTATTTCTTAGTAGTCCATGAGATATTCAGTACTTTTCTCCAGCACCACAGCTCAAAGGGATCAATTCTCCTTCTATCCTCCTTGGTCATTGTCCACCTCTCTGATGCATAACAAGTGATTGCAAAGACCATGGCCTGTATCAGATGCACCTTAGTCTCCAGTGACACCACTGCTCTTCAGTACTCTGGAGAGGTCCCTAACAGCAGACTTTCCCATCGCAATACGTCTTTTAATTTTGTGGCTGCTTGTGCCAAGAGTGTTGACTGTGGAGCCAAGCAAACTAAAGCTGTGAACAATCTCAATCTTTTCATCATTCATCCTGATGCTGCTAATAAGCTCAAAGAACTGAAGAACAAATTTAAACCTTGGGTTGCTATAATCAAGGATGCTTTAGATGCAATATTAAATGATCCAAAAGAAGATGGAAAGACTATACTGAGTCACTGTATTGAAAGGAATTGGCAGACACAGAAGAATTAATGAAACAACATATGAGCAAGAGCCTATGGTGAAAGAAGAAGTTCAAGCTGCTTTGAAGGAAATAGCAAAAAATAAGGCCCCAGGAATAGATGGTATACCAATTGATGTATTTCAGATAACAGATGCTGCCCTGGATGTGCTCACTAAGTTGTGCCAAGAAATCTGGAGAACAACCACTTGGCTAACTGACTGGAAGAGATCTATATTTGTTCCCATTCCAAAGAAGGGTGACCCAGCAGAGTTTGGAAACTATATAGAACAGTATCACTGATTTCACACGCAAGCAAGAATCTGCTGGAACAGCACATCAGCAGAAAACTGCCAGAAGTCCAGGCTGGGTTTAGAAGGGGTCATGGTATAGAGCTATTGTAGTTAAAGCTGGATCTTAGCTGAAAGTAGGGAGTGCCAGAAGAATGTCTATCTGTGTTTCACTGATGGTGCAAAGGTGTTTGACTGTGTGGATCATAACAAACTGTGGCTGACTCTGAGAAGAATGGGAATCCCAGAACACTTGATTGTGCTAATATAAAACCTATACTTGGATCAAGAGGCAGTCATCAGAACAGAGCAAGAAAACACTGTATGGTTCAAAATTGGGAAGGGTGTACACCGATGGGATAGGGATGTGTCCTATTTCCATACCTTTTCAAACTGTATGCAGAACAAATTATCAGGGAGGCTGGGCTCTATGAGGAGAATTGTGGCATCAGGATTGGTGGAAGATCTATTAACAATATGTGTTATGCAGATGACACAACCCTGCTTGCTGAAACTGAGGAGAACCTGAAGTGCTTGTTGCAGAGGGTCAAGGACTGCAGCCTTGAATATGGATTGAGGCTCAATATCAAGAAGACAAAGATTCTCACTGCTGGACCAAGGAATCCAACAGTACATACAAAAATAATTCACCATGGCCAAATAGGATTCATCACAGATATGTAAGGATGGCTCAATATTAGAAAAATAACCAATGTGATTTATCACAATAACAACACAAAGAACAAGAACCACATGATATTATCAACTGATGCAGAAAAGGCTTTTGACAAAATGCCACACATTTTCCTGATTCAAAATACTCAACAAAATAGAAATAGAGGGGAATTTCCTCAACATTGTAAAAAAACCAAGAACCAACATCATTCTCAATGGAGAAAGATTAAAGGCAGTTCTTTTGAGAAGAGAAACTAGTCAAGGATACCCATTATCACCTCTCCTATTCAATATTGTGTTGGAAGTCTTAATGATAGTAATAAGACAAAAGAAGGAAATAAGAGGTAACCAATTTGGCAAGCAGGAGGTAAAACTATCGCTATATGCAGATGATAGGATAGCATACTTAGAAAATCCTAAACACTCAGGGAGAAAACTACTGGATATAGTTGACCAATTCAGCAAAGTGGCAGGATATAAAATCAACATAAAAAAAGAAATTGGATTTCTCTACAGTGACAAAACAAATACAGAATGGAGTTGAGAAAAACCAATACCCATCATAATGGCTAACTAGAAGATTAAATACTTGGGAGTAAATCTAACTAGAAACATGAAAAGACCTAGTTAAAGAAAATGATAAAACATTATTGGAAGAAACAAAAAGAAACCTGGAGAAATGGAAGAATATATCATACTCATAGAAAGGAAGACTTAATATTGTGAAAATTATAGTTCTACCAAAGGCAATCTGAAAGTTCAATGCAATCCCAATACAGATACCAATTCCATTCAACAAGATGGAAAAGGCAATTTACAATTTCATCTAGAATGGAAAGAGACCTCAAATAAGTAAAGTATTCCTGAAAATGAGAAGCAAGGCAAGAGGAATATCACTCATGCACCTCAAATCCTACTACCTAGCTGTGGTGGTCAACACAGAGTGGTACTGGTACAGTGACAGACTCACAGATGAATGGAATAGAATTGAAAATCCAGAAATCAACTCATCTATATATGGTCAACTGATCTTTGTCACGGAGACAAAAATCAGGTAAGTGGGGAAATAAAAAACCTCTTTAACAAATGGTGTTGGCAAAACTGGAAACCTATCTGTAGAAACTCAAGTAAAATCTACACCTTACACCATACACAACAACCAACTCAAAGTCCATCAGGGAGTAGGAATAAAAGCAAAGACTGCGAACCTCATCAGAGAAAAGCTTGAAAGAACTCTAGAAGCCCTAATCAACAGTATGAAATGTCTTCCAAGCATCTTGAAATATCTACAACCAGGAGAGAATAAAATAGATGAATGGGACCTTCTAAGAATCAAACCCCTATGTAGATCAAAAAACTTCTCCAACAGGGTAAAAAGAAAAGCCACACACTGGGGAAAAAAATGGTAATGACATGTCTGATAAGGGATTCAAATCTAAAATTTATTAAATACTCCAGCACCTCAACAAGAAAAAGGTAAACAACCCAAAAGCAAAACAAACAAACAAACAAAAAAAACCAAAACAAAACAACCCAAAAGCAAAATAGGTGCAGGATATGAATAGACACTTCACCAAAGAAAACATTCAAGTGGCAAACAAACACATGAAGAAATGTTCAAAAATTCCTATCTCTCAGAGAGATGTAAATCAAAATAGCTGTGAGATGTCATCTCACTTCAGTAACAACAGCAAAATTCAACAGAGCAGGCAGAAAATACTAGCAAGGCTGTGGAGAGATTGGAACCCATATTAACTGCGAGTGGGAGTAAAAAATGGTGCAACCACTATGGAAGGCAGTATGGTGCTTTCTCAAAAAGTTGAAAATAGAAATGCCACTTGACCCACCAATTCCAATGCTAAAAATATACCTTAAAGAAATCATAGCTGTCACTCAAATAGATATATGCACATCCATGTTTATTGCTGCATTATTCACAATAGCATAAAGATGGAATTCCAATATCAATTAGAAATTAGAAATTCTATACAGACTTGCTAGAAAGTAGATGAAAAGGAAACATTTGCCAATTTATATTTTTTACATTCTTAAATGTTTTTAGTTGTTGTTACAAAACCACATATGTATATAAAATAACCTTTGTGGTTCATGATTTTTCAGGTATACAATTTAATTATATCAATTACATTAATCATGTTGTATCACCATTCTCTATCATTGACAATTTTCTTATTATTATGAGCAAAAGTCCACTGCTTCCTAAATAATGACTTTCCTATACCCTTTCCCCCCTACTATGGTAATCACTAATAAATGCTAATTTCTATACATTTGCCTATTATTATTTTTTATAAATGAGCTCATATATTTGTTCCTTAAGATTAACTTACTTCACCTAGGGGAGCTCTAGTGGGTTTTCTACAGGGCACATTGCATTGTTGACCCAAAGTCCTCACATCTCTGGTGGTTCTAATCTATCACCACCTCTATGGGAGAAAGATAGATAATCTCCTCAACTGTGATTTACAGCCTCAGAGAGCCACTAAGAAGGTCATCTATGAGTGTGTTCCAACTGGATAATAATGATGATGGGCTAGGGATCAGATCCATAGGGTTTTCATTGGCTGACTTTCAAAAGTGGATCACCAGACCTTTCTTCATAGTCCATCTTAGTCTGGAAGCTTCACAGAAACCTACTCAGTATCACAGCAAAATGCAGTCTCTACTGACAGACCCTTGATGGCAATGTATGAGGTAGGTGTATTGTCCAGGGACCTGCTTTTCCTTCATGGGGAGGGAGAGTTCTACCATTGAATCACCAGTGTTTCATGCCTTTTGAGGATGTTGGTGTTATTGTTGTATGCCATCAGTTAATTTCAACTCAACAACCTTCTAGGACAGAGGAGACTCACTCCCTGTGATTTCCAAGGCTTCACAGGAACAGATTGCCAAGTCATTTCTCCTACGGAGCGGCCAGTGGGTTTGGACTACTAATCTGTCTGCAGCTTTGTAGTTTAACTACTGTGCTGTGAGGGCTCTTCTTTGGAAAAGAATCCCCCTCAATTACACTAAATGGTGGCCACAGAAAGTTCATCAGAGACTGATGGCTGAATATTCTGTTGGGAGTGTCTGAATCTTGTCTCATGCAACTAGGTAACTCATAATCTCTACAGACATCTTCTCCACTTCTGCGTTATGACTGGGGACCACCCAAGTATTACATGTCATCTTCAGGCTGGACTACCTCCTACAGGCGTTCAGGGCCAACAGTGGTATCCAGGACAGAAACAATGCAGCGTTCACTGGACTTTCTTACCACTGACGACACTCATTTATGGGGCTAGGCACCAGGAAATAACTGCTCAGCCTCAGCTACATAACCATAAAAGAAAGTATGAATCATTCCTGAAATGTTTTTTCTTATGTGTGAAAATGGGGATTATCTTTCCCTTCCTTTACCTCAAAGAACAATACTTGAAGGATACATTGCCATATTCTTATAAAATAAAATGGAACATTTAGACTTTCATTCTCAAAACATTATTAGAGCCTTGCTATTCTGTAATAGTGCTAATTCTAAGTATCTTCAAATTGAAATGGAACATATAGTAACTTACCATGTAGCTTTTTAGTCTGATGAAATCAACCTTCATAGAGACAAATCCATCTGAATTTTGGCTGATGTTCTTGAGGTGCTCTACAAGGTGAGCACAAAATTCGTATCCAGCTTAAGCACACACAGGACCAGAATGTCACAGTTCCCTATGTCTTTAATAATATCTTTAGCCAGCTGCTCAATTCTGAAAGACACAAAGGTCAAAAGATAGATTAAAGCACAACTATTTGTATATTTGCTCCTTTCAGGAAACAACGAATGACACAGTATACATAGTAGATGTGAAGGCAAATGTGGAAAAGAACTTGGGAGACAGAAGCCTACAGATAGGCTTTTCTGAGGTTGGACAAAGAGAGTGTTCAAAAGCGACTCCTGACCACCACATTATCTCTGGTATATACTTGTTCCTTTATGTCACAACAAAGACAATGGGGTAAAATATAACTTTCAGGATCATGAATGGTCTTATTTTATCACTACAGAGCCTGCTTGTTAACCTGAACAATGTTACGATGGTACTTTGTGATATTATGTTCATTTTATAGGAGAGGGAAAGGAAATAGGGAGTTGACTCACCCACCTTCCAAGATTATGAGAGTGCTGGAAGGTTGGAAGTTCAGACCGACCAGCTGTTGAGTGGGAGAAAGAGGTGGCAGTCTGCTTTTCTAAAGGTTACAGCCTCAGAAACCCAAGGAGGCAGAGCTACCCTGTCCTAAGAAGTTGTTATCAATCAGAATCAACTCTCAGCAATGGGTTTGGTTTTGAGGTCTTGGAGGAAAAGTCAAGTTAACTTCAAAAGATAACACTTGTGAATTTTGAAAGTTTAAAATAAACCCTGTATAGTGGAGTAGACTTGAGGAGAGGGATTGTATAAGAATGAAAGAATTTTCTTTTACTTTTCAGAGAAGAGCAAATTGGGGGTAGAGGGTGGGCAGGGAGAAAAGTGCAGCAATGAATGAATGGAAATCCTCAGTCTCTGTAAACTTTCATTAAAATTAATAGTAATTTTTTAAAAAAGAAAAGACAACACTAGGCCCTTAGGCCTGCTGAACAACTTTTAAATACAAAAGTCCACCCACCAGCTCCTGATTGATTTAAATAAGAGACTTCCAGCTACAGTTAATTAAATCCAGGTGACAAATCTTCAGTATAACCACCATTAATATTTTGGTATAAACTCTTTATTACATTCATAAAGTATGTGTGTATGTATATTTATGTGTATAAATGTATTTGTACATACATACAATCACTATGTATATACGTATATGTATTAACATTTTAACTAAAATTTAATATGTAAAAAAAAAAAAAGCCTATAAATTTGTGCCTCTGTATGTCAAGTGCCTGAGGTATGCCTAAACAAACAAACAAACAAAAAGCTACATAAAGATTCACACAATAGAATATTACACAGCATTGAAAAACAATAAACTAATAAAACATGACACAACATGGGGGAGCCTGGAGGACATTATGCTGAGTTAATATCTCAGTTACAAAAGGACACAACACCATTGTTATAAAGTAGGACAGGCATGGGGAGGCTGGAAAAGAGAATGGGAAAGTGTAGATAGATAATGAGCACTGCATTAGATCAGATGAAGGCAAGAACTATCCCAAAGGTTATGATTATATTACGCATTATATGTATGACAACAATCTGGAACAAGGGGTACATTGCAGGGAAGGTTAGGAGAGAGGTGAGAAGAGGGGAAAGCAAATGTGCAACAACAACAAAAATGAAAATAAAATGTTTAAAAAGAAATTTCTATTTTATTCTGATTTCTTTACAAAGTTTGAATACATTGTTTTTCACAAAAGATCCTTCCTGTTTATTTTGGAAAGATGGTCTCCCAGTGTAAGATAAAAAATTTAAAACAATTCAAATGAATCATTTTCTTAGCAATATGCACCATGAAAACCATTTTAGAAACCTCAGTCATTTTTTGAGATACACAATGACCATTTCATGTGCCATTATAATTACTACAGAATTTAGAGTGAGTAAAGAGTTGCTATGCCAACCCAAAAGTAGGTGGTTTGACTACACTAGGTGCACTGAGGAAGAAATATGTCTGTTCTCCTCCATGTGATTTATAGCCTCTGATTACTCCAGCAATGAGTCAGTTCTGACTCAAATGACAATAAGTGAGAATAATTGTATTCCAGATTTTACCTGTGAACTAGCAAAACTATGAACCCTAATTGAATGAAAATTATTTAAAGATATAAACAACATATGATTAGGTATACTTAGGGAGCGTGGGTGGCCTACTGGCAAGAAGCTACACTGCAATCCTGATGGCACAACCTGCTGGAGGGTCAACTATGGGTCGATTTCAACTCCGTGGAACACAGCAGCAGCAACAACAACAACAACTCCTTATGTAAATATCTTCTTGTTCCAAAAAGTATGTTATGCTTCATTTTCTTGTTAATATACATGGTTCTGTGTCACTATCTGTTTGCTGGCAACTTAACAGTGACACCCTGATGGGGGTAAGCTCAATGGAGATACACCATTCCAGAAAAGGATCAGAGAGTCAATTCAGCCCAATTTTATTTGGGACTGCAGCACACTTATATACGACCAGGTAAACAGGAAAACAGGATAGGGTGGGCTTACAGACGTGGGACATGCAGATTGGTTAGGAGAACGTCAGCCTCATGTGGACCACTCCCAGCTCAACAGATACAGCAGCCATCTTCCCAGGTGGCGAGTTTTCTCAAGTCAGTACAGCCAAACACAGGGGAGCGTTCTCTACCCCATAGTAAAGACCATTGGGAGGCTTGCACTTATTTGGCGCTTAGGTGATCTGTCCTGGCCAGAGGCCCTCCCTTCCTTTCCAATATGCTCCAACAGTTCCGTTTTTCTAAAAATCTCATATATTGAAATTCTTACCTGTATTGCTATTGTTGGGTACTGTTGAGTTGGCCCTCAACTCAGAATGACCCTATCTATACACAATAGATTGAAACCCTGTCTGATTCTTGACTGTCCTTATGGTCTCTGCTGTGCTTAAGTTCATTGTTGCACCCACTGTGTCAATCCATCTTGTTGAGGGTCTTCCTCTTTCTCAAAGACTCCCTGTTTGACTAAGTATGACATCATACTGCAGGGATTGGCCCCTCTGAATAATATGCTCTCAGTACAATAAACCAAGTTTCAACATTTTCAAGTCTAAGGAGCATTCTGGTTATCCTTACTCCAAGACAGATTTTGTGCAGAAAGGAATAAAAAAGTAACACTTGTCTTATCTTTAACAAAGGTAGTACATTACCAATGTAAAAAGGTGCCCCCCGAGTATTGTTCCAATCGGCACAAGTTACATGGAACTCTGTGTGAATGAGGCTGTCAAGAGTTGTACAGGGTATGGTAGCTTTGCACTAGAATTTGGTATAAAATTAATTAGTTTTTTTTCTATTTGCTTCATGTCAATAAATCCTGCTGCCCAGAAATATGCATTTTAACAATTTCAAAAGGTGATTCCAATTATATGGCACTAGCTTAGGGTAACCTCTCATATATTATATAAAGAAGTATAAGTCATAATATTCTAATAAGAAAAGATAGAACTTCTTTAAACCAAGAGTTATCATATTGGTATCAAAGGAAAACTCTTTGGGTAGTTATTAAGAGGTGAATTGAGTTGTCTAATGCCTTACCCTTTCCCCCAAATTGTACAATTTTTTTTTCCTTTTTGGGAGGATTGTTATTAGGGTCCATACAGTCAGCTATGACCCTGTAAACAACAGGGTTGAACCTTGCCTTGTCGTACACCTTCCACATCATCTGCTGTGCGTGCGAGCCCACTATGGGTCATGCTGTCAGTTCATCTCATTGAGGGTCTTCCTCTTTCTCTGACCCTCCACCTTTCCCATCATGATATCTTTTTCCCAAAGGATGACTCCTCCTGAGAACATGCCCAAGGCTTCATCATCCTTGCCTCTAAGGAGCAACATGATTGCACTTCTTTCTAGTTCTCTTGGCAGCCTGTAGGATAGTCAGTTCTTTTCTCTAGCACCACAATAGAAAGGCATTAATTTTTCTTCTGTCACCCTTACTCATTCACAAAATTGAATTTTTTAGCAGGGGAGGGGCAGAAATCTCCATATCTTTAATATGCTAATATTTCCTGCCAACAGGAAAAATTAGTAATCGGGAAATGTCAACTTTCCCAAGTTTAAGGAGTCTTCTTATTCTCTCAGTGATCAGAATTTGTCAGAATTTTTATTCCATTGGAAAGTTTTCTTAAGCCATAAGAAACCAAACACTAGGCCTTATTTTCATAATGTATTATAATTTGAGAGAACAAGAAATAGCCAAGGCTCAGCAAATGGAAAATCTTAGTTTTGGGGTGTTAGAATGATGTTTCCTTTTGCTTGCAGCACAAGTACTAATGGAAAGACAGTAACCTTGGAATAGTGACCATCAAGTGTGTTTCAAACTTTCCTTTGGCTGAGGATCTATTTTATAAAGTTAAATCTTAGAAGAATATGAGAGAGGAAAAAAAAATATTGAGGCAGTAGTGCTGTGGTTGAAGAAAATGATTGCAATGAGGAGTCCAAAGCCTCTATCATCTCCTTCACCTCAGTGACTGTCCATCCTGACATCTGAGTCTTGAAGAATCTCTGTGATCCTAGGTTTGAGAGGGGGAAAAAAATCCCAGGCCTACAAACACCTTTGTTTTCTTTATAAATGAGAAGATTTAAATATCTTACCCTTGTGCAAGAAATTACAAAGACAGCTAGAGAGGGATCTCAGGGAGGATATCTGGTGTTAAGGTCAGAAAACTACAAGGCAGATGTTTTCCCCTAATAAAACATGCCCAGACCCCACTGCAATAACCACTTAGTTCCATTAAGTTACTTTCCCTCCAGAACCTGCTTCAGTTGACTCCTTAAATATGCACTGTTCACCGCCCTCTGACTGCTCTGTGGCCTTCCTCTGACATAGGCCATAGGGAGTTGTACTATTAACTCAAAGGTGGTGCCTCTCTGGAGGTCTGAATTCACCAGCAGTGCCTCAGGAGAAAGATGAACAATCTGCTCAGTGTGATTTCTAGCCCACCAAAAACCCACTAGAGGGTCAGCTATGAGTCTGTTCCCAATTGAAGAGAAGTCTTTTTAAGTTCCAGAGAACATTCTGGTGGAACAGGACTCAAATTGGCATCCATAATGACTACTAATGTCTGTTGTTGTTGTTGTTGTTATTGGTTTTTTTGTTGTTCTTCTGTGCTGTCAAGTCACCTGTGACTCATAGCAACCCTATGTACAACAGTCTTATACACGGCTCCATCCTGTGCCAATCTTATTGTCCCTGGCACACCTACCCCCATTACCTTAGTCACTGAATCAATCTATCTCGTTTGGGGTCTTCCTCTCTTGTGCTGTCCCTCTACCCTCCCAAGCATGACATCCCTCTCCAAGGACTGGTTCCGCCTTGCAACATGTCCAAAGTAGGTCAGACAAAGCTTCAGAATCCTCACCTCCAAGGAGCAGCCTGGTTTAACCTTCTCCAAGATGAACGTGTTCTCCTAGCTGTCCATGTTATATTCAATACTCTTCTCTAGCACTACTGCTCAAAGGCATCAATTCTCCTTCTATCATCCCTAGTTATTGTCCAGCTTTCTGAAACATAGCAAGTAATTGCAAAGACCATGGCCTGAATCAGGCTCACCTTAATCCCCAAACTGACATCGCTGCTCTGCACTAGTTTGGAGCAGTCTCTGACAGCAGACTTTCCCATTGCAATCCATCTTTTAATTTCCTGGCTGCTGGTACCAAGAATGTTGTTTGTGGAACCAAGCAAACCGAAGCTGTTAACAATCTCAATCTCTTCATCATCTATCATGATGCCATTCGGTTCAGTGGTGAGAGTCTTTGTTTTCTTGATGTTGAGCTTCAGTCCATATTTAAGGCTGCAGCCCTTTACCTTTGCAGGAAATACTTCAGGTCCTCCTCAGTTTCAGCAAGCAGGGTTGTGTCATCTGTATAATCAGATTGTTGATGAGTTTTCCTCCAATCCTGATACCACATTTCTTTTCATATAGCTCAGCCTCCTGGATAATCTATTCCGCATGTAGATTGAAAAGGTATGGAGACAGGACACATCCCTGGCGTACATCTTTCCCAATTTTGATCCATGCAGTGTTTCCTTGCTCTGTTTTGAAGGCTGCCTCCTGGTCAAAGTATAGGTTTCACATAAGCACAATCAAGTGTTCTGGGATTCCCATTCTTCTCAGAGATAGCCATATTTGTTGTGATCCACACAGTCAAATGCCTTTACATAATCAATGAAACAGACATTCCTCTGGTACTCTCTGTTTTCAGCCAAGATCCATCTGATATTAGCTATAATATCCCTAGTTCCACGGCCTTTTTTAAACCCAGCTTGCACATCTGGCAGTTCTCTGTCGATGTTCTGTTCCAGTCATTTTTTGATGGTTTTCAGCAGAATCTTGTTTGCATGTGCTATTAATGATATTGTTCGATAATTTCTGCACTCTGTCAGGTCACCTCTCTTTGGAACCTTTACCTGTCCTCCCATAACAAGTAATGTCTCAGTCCAGAAGCCTCTGCAACAGCATCCATCTTGAAGCATCAATTAGGCACACACTTATTTGTCATAATTCCTCCTATATAGACTATTCTCAGAATTGTGCACCTTCCTTTGTGAATAAACATGAGACTATTTATTTAAATCTTTATAGGCCTAAACAATTCTCCTGTTCCATGAGTTATGGGCTAATGTTCCATGTCCCTCTTGGAAAAATAGTTTTACTTTGCAAAATATTTTCCCTACTTCTTTCTTTGCTTACACACAAAAGCCTGGACTACTCCTTCTATATTCTTACTTAGCAGATGGAAGAATCCAAGTTTTAAAAGTGCCCTAGAGACATTTACTTGGCCATCACATTTAAGGGGTACTCAGGCTACGTTAGGGAACTCTGGTGACCTAGTGTAAGATCCTAAGAACCTGCAGTGCAATCCCGAAGGCATGCTGCTCAAATCTAACAGATGTTTCATGGCAGAAGGCTTGGTAATCTCCTCCTGCACAATCTAGTGTCTCTAACCATTCACTGGAGGCTCAGCTATGGATTGGTCCCAATTTGATGGCAAACAGCAACTGGCTGAATGTGAAGACTCGAAGCACTTAATGATGAAGATCCAAACTACAACTTTCAATATGAATTGAGACAGTTTAATTAAAGGGGCATGCGTTATAAATTCCAACGCTATGCTATTAAATGCCTTCGAGTCAGCTCCAACTCATAGCAATGCTGTGTTCAACAGAAGAAAACCTTGTTCAGTCTTGCACCATCCTCACAATCTCTACTGTGAATCTTTTTCATATCTTGACTGTATTTAAGCCCACTGTTACAGCATCATGTCAATACATCTCATTGTGTGCTTTCCCCTTTTCACTGACCCTCTACTAAGCATGATGTCTTTCTCCAGAGACTAGTCCCTCCTGATAACATGCATAAAGTCTAGGAGATGAAGTTTTACCATCCTTGCCTCTAAGGAGCACATAGACTACAACTTCATCCGGGATGGATTTGTTTGTTCCTTTGGTAGTCTGTGGTATATTCAATATCTTTTGCCAACACCACAATTCAAAAGCATCAGTTCTTCTTCAGGCTTTCTTATTTTTCATTGTTTAACTTTTCGCGTGCACATGAAGCAATCAAAACTCCCATGGCTTGGATCAGGAGCATATTATTCTTCAAGCTGACATCCTAGTACCTTAAAGACGTCCTTGCCAGCAGATTTTCCCAATGCAATATGTCTTTTGATTTTTTTTTTGTCTTTTGATTTTTTGACTGCTGTTTCCATGGGTGTTGACTGTGGCAGGTAAAATAAGATTATTGACAACTTTTATCTTTTTTCTCCATTTATCATAAAGATACCTTTTGTCCAATGGTGAAGATTTCTGTTTCTTGATAATGGGGGCAATTCATATTGAAAGTTGAAGTTTGGATCTTCATCATTAAGTGCTTCGAGTCTTCACATTTTTGCAAGTGAGTTTGTGTCATCTGCATAATGCAGATTGTTGATAAGTCTTCCTCCAATCCTGATATCACATTCTTCTTCATATGGTTCATATTTGGGTTAAAAAATCAAAAGATATAGAACTGTCTTTGTGTCCAGTTGGACATGACTGAATTGTTTTGAACTGGTTCAAAGCCCTGTTTCCAATTTCTAGCTACCCTTTATAACAGAGCAGCTGCCTCCAAGGATTTCCAAAGCTGTAATCTTTACAGAGGCAGACATCTTTCTACTGTGGAACAGTTTATTAGTTTGAAGTGCTGACATTTCAGTTAGCATCAGAGAATAGATATTGCATCACTAGGAAGGATATCTGTGTAGATAAGTCAGAATGGACTAGAAATAGAATTCTAGAAATAGTACTTTGCAGATAATTTTAAGCTGTAAATCTTCCTAATATTACCACTTGCTGGAAAACGTAGGTATGCATATTAGCCCATGTGTCACAAATTACTGTACTTGGTCTAAAAGGAATAATAGGTGCAATAGAAGTCAGTTTTAGGTAAGTGTCTTATATAAAGGTAAAGATAATAATCTTGACTCTCCCTGATGGAAACTTAAGGGTCAGTTGAAAGTGTGAGCCAAAGGTTCTTGAGTGAGAAGTAATGCTTACCTAACCCTCTTCGTCACCAGTTTGTACAGCATACTGTTGAAATGATGGTGCTGTTTCTATACCATTTTACACTTCCACCAACAGTGTCCAGCCTTCATACCACTGCCCTTGATCAAATGCCCAGGCAAGCAGTTCAGTTAAAGCAGAAGTCCATTTTTATTTCAAATCCACATATCCATAAAAATTTCTCTGTACAAGAGTAGGGTACTAAAGTATATTACATTATTCAAAGACCATCCTAGCCCAAGATCAAATATCACTTACCTGTCCACAATGATCCCATGACATAATCCAAATCTTCATAATAGTGCTGTGGGTATGTAAATAAATTCAAGTCCTATCCTGGCCAGTCATCCATAATCTGTAAATCAGATTATTTTTGTTATGGTATTTTTCACTGCAAATTCATTTTAAACTAGCACATATACAAAAGGAAAGACAGGGGAAAAAAATGATCCGAAGGCTTAAACATTGCTGATGCAACTTGATAAAAGTTCTCATGTTGCAGTGAAGAACAGAGTCCTCCATTTCTAACTATTGGCATCACACAATGTGAAAGCAGCTGCAAATTTTACACTCCTATATAATTAACTCTAGGACTTATAATTAATCTGATAGTATGGTCTTTTAGACTGTTGATATTAGTTTCCAGGGAGTCAAGTCAGACTCAATAGCCCCATGTGTACAGAATAAAATTGTTCCATATTTTTCACCTTCTGGAAGCAGATCTTTAGGCCTGACTTCCAAGAGGCCTGCGAGTGCATTCAAAGCGCCAACCTTCTGACTAGCAATTGAACACTTACCCCAACAACATTCACTTGATATCACTCAGCAACTACTCTGTAAGAGTGCATATGAATACTTAATCCATACATAAATTAGAAATACTAGCACGAATATGAGATTTGTAATTAATTTATAATAGTTTCCTTATAATACTTTTTTATAGCACATTACATGTAATACTCATTTACTTTAGTGGTAAATATCCCCATTTACCTGGTAATGACTACCAATTGAAATTAGATTTTTCCTGGAATTAGAATATGCAGACACTTCTGAGTGCTCTCAAAAATGTCAGAATACTCTTTTCCCAGGAAGTAGACATTTTAGAAGGATGTGCCAAGGGATGCATATAAACCAGCTTTATTGGGAAAGTGATATCTATTTAGAGTAGACTAACCGGTAGCATGGAGACAACCTGTAGCAGAACAGATTATCTGGGAGGCTCAGTTCTATGAGGAGAAATGTAGGGTCAAGATTGGTGGAAGATCTATCAACAATCTGCGTTATGCAGATGACACAGCCCTGCTTGCTGAAACTGAGGAGGACCTGAAGCACTTGCTGCAGAGGGTCAAGGACTGCAGCCTCCAATATGGATTGAGGCTCAGTGTCAAGAAGACAAAGATTCTCACCACTGGACTAATTGGCAGCATCAGGAGGGATGGTGAAAAGACTGAGATTGTTCACAGCTTTAGTTTGTTTAGCTCCACAGTCAACACTCTCTGCACCAGTAGCCAGAAAATTAAAAGGTGTATTGCCATGGGAAAGTCTGCTGTTAGGGACCTCTCCAAAGTACTGAAGAGCAATGGTATCTCTCTGGAGACTAAGGTGTGCCTGACACAGGCCATGGTCTTTGCTATCACTTGTTATGCATCAGAGAATTGGACAATGACTAAGGAGAATAGAAGGAAAATTGATGCCTTTGAGTTGTGGTGCTGGAGAAGAGTATTGAGGGTACCATGGACTGCTAGGAAAACAAACAGATTCATCCTGAAAGGGTTAAACCAGGAGGCTCCTTGGAGGCAAGGATTCTGAGGCTCTAACTTACTTTGGACATGTTCTAAGGAGGGACTGGTCCTTGGAGAGGGACATCATGCTTGGGAAGGTGGAGAGACAGCACAGGAGGGGAAGGCCCTCTATGAGGTGGATTGATTCAATGACTGGGGTAATCGGGATGGGTGTATCGGAGACAGTGTGATTGGGCACAAGACAGAGCAGAGTTTAGGGCTGTTGTACATAGGGTCGCTATGAGTCACAAGCGACTTGACAGCACATAACAACAAACAACAACAACCGGTAGCAAACTTCTTTGCTTAGTATTGGATGTACAAAAATGTGATGATATTATAAGGCCTCCTATTTAAAAGCCCATTAGGACCTCCGGCCTGAGGCCTTTGGGCCTGTTTAAAGTGTTTTTTGTCAAACATTCTTCTAAGTGGATAGTATAGCATTGCTCTGCGCATTGCTGCACAGAGGTAACTTGTGTTTGCTGTGATGTTAAACACTGTGACACTGATACTCCAAATGCAATAATGGTTACCCATGGTGAACAGTGTTGGTGGAGCTTCTTGGTTAAAGCAAGCTTGGAAGCAGGAGTGGCATCCACTTCCGAAATGGCTTGCTTCCAGAAACTCCATGAACATGGAGAAACAACAAAAGTTATACAAGTGTTCAGAGCTTTTGTTCTTAGGGTCACTATGAGTCTTCTATGACTTGATGGCACTTAACAACAACAACAGCAGCTGCAAAGAAGTAGGAGAAAAGTGAAAGTGAATGAAGAGTTACTATTTATTACTTTCAAAAAAGGAAGTGAAAATGAAAATGTTACACATTCAAACCTCATTTGGCTATATGGCAGGATCCTGTCCTTCACTCACTCCTGCACGTTTTCATCAGACTTCTCTGTCCAACTTTAACCTTTTGTTGTTGTTGTTACCATGGCAACTCTGACTGACAGATCTGTGCCTTGCCCTATCCTACACCAACTTTGATGTGTTCAAGCTTACTGTTACAATCACTTATTGAAGGTTTCCCTCTTTCTTTGACCCTCCATATTTCCCAGCATGATGTCTGTTTATGGGGAATAGTCCTTCTGAACAACACAGCCTCAGTATGTGAAATGGAGTTTCACCATCCTTGCCTCTGAAGAGCACCTTAGTTGCCCTTCCTTCAGGCCTTCCATAGTACAGACCCATGCTAATATTATAGCCCAACTTCATAAATCCTCCCCGTTAATGCTCAGATTGGTTTTCTGTACAGGCAGAATCATTTCCAATCCTATGTTCTGTCTAGGAGTCTGTCTTACATCCTGTGCCCTTACCCTCATTCTTTTAGTTGCTCACAACAAAACCTTGGAGCTGCTGACTCCTTTCTTAGCAAATCCTACAGTGAATTCCCTCAAGCTTGTACAATTTCTCTCAGGAGTACAATTCAGTCACTTCCAGCTCAGAGTCTCCTTCCCCTGATTTCCAAGGCTATAAGTTTTCATAGGAGGAAACTGACCATCTTTCTACCACATAAAGCCTGGTGGATTCAAACCACTGACCTTTCAGTTAACTGCCTGACACATGATATACTATACTACCAGGACTCCCAAGGATTTCAACAGTTCCTGCTAAGCTTGTCTCCCTTCTTACAACTTTGTCTTCAGATGGGATCTGGAAAGACCTTTTAAAAGTGTAACATAACATCATGGCTTCTGCTCGATTTTTGTCAAGGGCTTCCCACCTCACTCAGAGAATAGAGTCCTCACCATGACCAACAAGGACTTCCCTCTCCCTCTCTTACCCAGGCACTCTTGTCCTCTGCTTCATCCACTGGCCTCACTGTTCCTTGCTGTGCCACGCATGGTCCCATCTCAAGAAAACTGCACTTATTATTTCTTTTGCTATACTTTTCCCCAGCCAGGCACATAGCTTGCCCTTCATTTCCTTCAAGCCTCCACTCAAGTGTAAGCTCCTCCCAGAAAGCCTTCCCTGACTACCTAAGTAAAACACCACACCCTACTCTATTTCCTTTCTGCAATTCTCTTACTCAGCTATACATTTACTCATAGCATAGGTTGCAACCTCATATGATATGGGTGGTATGTTTGGTGTTTTATCTCTTATCTTCCTACTGGAGTGTCAGCTCCTTCCGGCTGAAATTATCTTTTCATTGTTGTACTCTTAATACCCAGAATGCTCCTGGAAGCACCAGAACTCAAACTCGAAGGCTATGAGTCAGAGCACAGCTGACCCTCCAGTGGGTGGGTCTTTTTTTTTTTTTTAAATTTA